TGTCAAAAAATTTTTTTATTAATATAATATATAATTAGATGTATATATTAAAGAATATTATTTTTAAAAAAAATTCTGAACAGATATTTAGAATTTCAATATTTAATATTTACTTACCATTGAATATTATATTAATAATAAAAATAAAAGTTAAAGCGAAATGCGCCATAGTGAGTAGAAAAATTTTGAAAGTAATATACTCAATATGATTGAAAGAACTTCTTTTATACGAATTTCAATGTTTTAAAATAATCTTGATAACTTATCTGTTATCTACGACAATCTATGACGATTCAATCTGTAACAGTTGTGTGCAATTTATGAAAAGTGTAGATAAATGAAATATGTTATAAATTTCTGAATGAATTTTTCTTATTTATTCATTTTGTCAAATGTGAATTTAATAACTGGTGATTAAATAATTTGTAAATCAATTATATCTTCAATATAGAAAAATTATCATGTTAATAGAAGATTGAATTATAAATTTTAAAGATCATTTGAATGTTTTGTAAATACAATTATATTTTTTCATTTTATTTGCATAATAATATCTTATAAATATAAAATTTCTAACATAATATCTATATAAATAGGTACAAATATATTATTTTGAAATAAATAATATTAAAAAACAAATATGGAATTTACATTACATATTTCTTTAAAATCTTTTTTAAAAATATATTTTATTATTAATTTATTATTATTATTATTAAAAATTTTTATTGATCATAATTGATAAATTTTCAGTATTTTTTTTATTTTTTGATATTTTTTATGACGTCAGAAATTATAAAGATAAGGCAATCAATAAGATAAATGAAGTACTTTTCATTCCAAAAATAAATGATAATGTTGTAAAAACTAAAGATTAATGTATAACGTTTAAAAAATAAAAAATCAATTGAAATTGTTTAATGAAAAAAAGATAAAAATTTGATTTTTATCTTTATTTGTCACTTATATTTATATGAATATAAATATAAGTTTCTTTTTTACAAAATCGTTAATGAAATTGGAAAATAAATACTAAAATAATATTGATTAGTGATATATAAGATATAAATGTCAATTATATTTATGATAAATAAAAATTATCATATAATATTTTAACAATATTATATTTCTATTTTTTTATAATACAATTAAAAGATTTTATGAAACACAATAAATATTTTTTTAATTTTCAGCATAGATATAATTTTTCTTACAATTAAAAAATATTCAAATCAATATTTTATATAATCACAAATAGTTATAAAAATATTCGATAGTTAACAATTAAATAATTTAATAGCATTTCATGTATTTATTGTTTTTTTACTTTCCATTTTATATTTCTTTATATATTTCTATTGTATTTAATATTTTTTTATATTTTTTTTATTTTCAAAATATTATATTTTCATTGTAATGTAGATATTTATCAAAATATATAAATATATAAATATTTGATAAATATTTATCATATTTATCAAAAATAAATTTCTGTTAATTTCATATTCAATGATACTTTATTCTATGCATTTATATTTTTACTTCAATATTTATTAATTATATAGAATGAAATATTTAAATCTATATATATTCTATTATGTACATTCTTTGTTATTTAAAAAAATTAAATTAAAATTTAAAAAAAATAATTCTGTTTTTATGAGCAATTAATTTGAAAATTAATTAATTTTTTTCATAAAGAATATATGAAAATTATGTTACGGAATTACATATTTTTGAACATTTTTGAAAATGATCAATATAATTAATTGTTTACAGAAAATAGTTATTAGTATTATATATAATATAATAACTACTATATATAACAAAAAAAAATCATTAGTTTTATAGATAATTTCAATTTAAATTTTGTGAAATTTACTTATGAAAAATAAGAAATACATGAATATTTCAATACTAGTTTATTTATGTTTTTTTTTATATGTGTTTTTTAGAAACAATAGTTATATATAATCTATATATTCTTATTTGTATATACATGTGTGTTTTTAATATAAATTATATTTCATCATTTGAAAAATATACATACAGATAGATAACTATTATGTACATTTGAAATCCATAATCTCTAATTTATAGATATATATATATTTTCATTCTAGAAAAATTTATATATTTGATAAAATTTTAATATTTGAAATACAGGATATTAATATATTCGTAAGACATGAAAAGTCAATTCTAGATGTCAAAGTAAACATAAAAGTAGATATATAAAAATATTATTTGAGTCCTATTTATTAAGTAATAAACAATTAAAATTTTTATTAAATAAAGCGAAATGAAAGTAAAATGAGATGGATCTTCACCACATTACTGCGTTACACGTTTCATTGTTTCCATTTCGCTTTATTCGATATAAAATTTAATTGCTTAATAAATAAACTTTAATCGAGATTTTTGTACATTAATTTTTGTATTAATCTATAGATTCGAAAGATATCTTACAAATATCATATTTTATTATCAATATTATCCAATATCATTCTTATTTTATATTTATCCATTGTCATTGTTATTCGAATTATAACAACATCAAGAATGGAATAGAGCTTGAATAAATTGATTATGATTCAATCTAAACTTCTTTAGCATCTGTGGTACATGATTCGGTGCTTATTTATTTGTTTGATATCCAATCATATCATTCATCAGATTCGCAGAACTTTAGGATTCGAAGGCACCCCACTGAGGTTGACGTATAATCTACAGATTATATCGTTTGATGATGTGTGAAGGTAAGAACTTGCCACTTTCGTTACGATTGTGTCTCGGAATCATTGATTTGTGTTGTGTACGAGTTCTATAATGTTTTGAAGGCACGTGAAATCTTTGCATCGCATTGTATTTTTCAATCGTTTTTATATACTCTCCGATATAGAGTAAAACATCTTTGTTGATAATATTTAATGTTCACGTACCAAGAGAATATGCCTGAGAGAATATATCAGGGGATCTCTATTGCGATACCAAGAACTGATGGTAGTGCGCTAAGAGCTGTTGTGCTTTATAATACGATTAATGCAGAATTATAGGGGTTCTATGTGAATAGTCCAAACAATGATGTTTTATGAAAAAAATAGAATTCCAATGAAAATATGAAATTTCAATAATTCTTTTATAATAATATAATTTAATCTTTTCAGCATTATAGTTATTGAAAATTATTTTAGAATATATTTTAGAATGAATTTTTTATTATTATACAATTATCGTATTTATTATTATATTATTATATAATATTATTATATTATATAATAATTATTATATAATATACAATTATCATTGTTGTATTATATAATTATTATAATTTTTATTAAAATTTTCGAATATAAATTATATAATTATAAATTATA